TTGGGAAGAAGAGAATAAAGAAAGTAAAAGTCTTCTATTTAATTAAATGGTCATCAGGAAGTGTAAACAAAATGTTTATAATGCTTCAGGAGGAACCAGTCTCCCAACAGAGTGACTGCACAACATTTCAAATTGCCCTCTATGACAACTTTCATTTTAATACATGTGCAGAGAAAACGAGGGCTATTGCATTCTGTCACCATGCCTGGAGGGACGCACACTTTCTTTCAAAACAGCTTCTCAGCCTTGTTCAGTTTTCTGAGAAAAAAGTTCCAATGTGGATCATCATTTATTCTCAATGAACACATTGTACATCCGTGCAAGTTTTTTATTAGTTTGGGTATTTTAGATTGTGAAAAGCTTTTTTGAGAAAAAAAGACTGGTGCATGAAATTCATAGTTAAATAATGTTTCAGGAGGCTCCAGAAATGTGCTAGAATGACAGTCCTTTCAGTCACATCATGTTAAAAGCTATAGAAAAATATGGCTTTATTACAGTAATGATATGGCTGGTCAAATTATGAGCAACAGATAGTCCATAAACCAAGTGAGATAAATGCTGTGAATTTCATCCACACAAAGATGTACATTTTAAAACGTGTGCAGTGGCTTGTTTTGGAATTCTAACTTCAATTTAATGTTTTAATCCCTAACAGCCATATACTTAGGTTTTTTTGTTTGCTCTTGATACTGTGGGTAGAAAAGAGAGGCCACAGTCAGTGGTGTGGAGCTGTGGCTCAGTGGATTCCAAATGCAGTCCTTAACAAAACTGGTCATTGGAGCCCTGACCAGCAAAGGCATAGTCACATCCCTAACATTGCACGCTGGGACAGTTTCCATTGACTTCAAGTACAATAAATCAGAATTAAAAGAAGTTGCAAGTATTTGCTAGAGTACTCAGCAATCAGCACTATCATGGAGCCTCTCCTAGGATAGCAGAGCTACACGGCTCTTCCACAGCACTTAAAATGGAGTTGAAATTTTTGGTGCCAAATCTCTTTCACAAAACATGGTAGATTACTGCCCTAAATGTCTGGGTCAGATATTTATTACAAAATCTGCATAATTTCAGGCCTGTTTAACGTGATTTCTTACAGACTCAGTTCATTATTTCTCTCAGACTCAGTGGTTTGGTTAGTGTTGGTGTGCTGCTTAGCTATAGCAAAATCCCAGTAATTTTTTAAAACTCACTATTGCTTTATGATATATTTTGAAGTGTGTCTTACCTGTCTGTTTTGGATATTATGATGATATCTACTTGTTATTTGTCTAGCTGGTTCAGTGTTGCAGGCCTGATTTCAAGAAGAACTTTTAAAAACCAGACAGGGATAGATTCTGAGGTGCTACTCATATAAGATGGCATTGCCTCAAAGGCTCACAAAAGCATCCTGTTCCACCCAAAAGGAAAGGCAAGATCCTACAGAAAATTATTTCTTAGGAGCTACATTTTCTTCCCCCACAGCACTGAGTGTTTTTTTCAGGCACTTTAAAAGGCCCATTGTAATAAATTGATTGAGTTTGAAAGCTTGTCCAGTTTCACTATAACGTCTCTAAGTGATTCTGTTTTGTCTTAAAATGTTGTTTATTACTTCCAGCTCTACTATATGTTCCTCTCTGAATTTCAGGAGGAGCTGTTGTCTTTGTTCCAGAAGCAAGAGGTGGGGATGCTTGGTAGTATTCCAAGGGAAATGGCTGATCTTTCTGTAGACTTTCAATTTACTGTTCAGAAAAATGAAATAAAATATTTTGTTCTGGAGCAGATTAACAAAAGCAAACAAAAAAGAAGAACAAATTTGCTGACATGTCTTAAAGCATCTCTGGAAACCATTGCTTAATGAAAACATTGGAAGATTAAATCAAAAAATGGGAAAAGGATGGAAAAGGTGACTCCCAAAGTTTGGTTAGACCCAAAATAGAAAATTTATTTTCCTTTTCAGATCTTGTAATAATTTTCAATAAGATTTTTAATTTGTATCAATTTTGAGATTAAAATTATTTTCAAGTAAAGTGAGCTTCAAAATGTACCAAAAAAAATTTTGCAGTGTTTTCCAACTGAAACATTTTAATCCAAATATGTTAATTCAGGTTTATTGTCCTGTTTTATTCAATTTATTCACCAATTTTTTTTTTTTTTTTTGTGCTTAGGGGGAGTTTTTTTATTTTGGTTTTGGAGCTGGGTTTTTGTGTGTCCTTAAATGACATTTTTGAGAAACTGCTTTCTTTGTTTGTTTGCTTTCTTGTTTGTTTGCCTGTTTGAGCAGTTCAGAATCTGTCAAATTTTGGTAGTTCAAGCAAAGTCTCATCAAGCAGCAGGAGAGAAATGCCATTCAAGTTATAACAAGACTATGATGTTTTCCACAAATTTAGTAATAAAGCGTTCTTTTTCTCCTAGATCTTTGAGATATTTACATCTCTGGATATGCCTGAACTATTTCCTCAGGACAAAGAAAATAGGGTGTTCTGTGGCTAATCATAATTTGTTTAATACTCATGAGATGTTTGGGGTGCCACTTCTCTCTTTTTCTTTGTTTGCTGCCAAGCTTTCCTTCTGTTTTTCTCAGGTAGGTTACGGCAGGAAGATGCTGCACTTCTCAAAAGATCAGAAGTCCTGCTGCCTGGGGCTAGATGTTAATAAAATATTCCTTTCATTTCTTGTTTTTCCTCCAGTCTCTTCTTCCCCCAGCACAGCAGATGAGAGCGAGTCCCTTTTCCCCTTATGTTCAGCTGTATGTCATCTTGAATTTAGTCTGAGATTTCACTCAATTTGACTCTGAGGGAAGCGGATCCTGAGGCAAATATTTTCCTTTCCTTATTTCAGACACTTTGCCTGCAAACTAATTGTGTAGATTGAAGTTAGTTCATTTGTTATGTTTGCTTTTGGCAACACAACAATATAGACAAGAACCTGAAGTTCACTGTTCTGAAAAAAATAATTTTTCCTCTGTGTGAACTGTTATAAAAGTTCCCAAAACACATGCTTTTGCTTTGCTTTTGCACTCAGTAACACTTAGTGAATAGTATTAAATTCTCCTCTTAGTAGAAATATCTTATTCTCACTAATACTAATGAGTAAATATTTAAACTTGCTATAAGTATTCTCTGGCAGCAGTAAATTAAAAACCTAAATAGAAACTGTACAAAGGTGTTAAACTCAAGCCTGCAGGTGAATTAAAATAGAAATCACATTGAAATCAGTTTTGGTGGGGAAACAGTAAAACTTTGTGAATATTTTCAGTAGCCATTATTGCATTATAATTTAGTACATCCTTTCTCACATATATTCCAGTTTTTTCACTCCATCTGCCTCTTCTACTCTCAGCTGCTACCATGATAGCCCCTCAGGACAGCATAATCTTGTTAGCTGCAATGCCATAATCTGCTGCTAGGATAAGAGTGGAAGTCAAAAAAAAAAAAGAGAATACTGCACATATTAAAATATTTCCCCTTTTCTTCCTCCTTCCTAAGACTGGAGGCTTAGAGAAATTAAGAAAAATCAGCCTATTGTCTATGAATTATAAAAACTATTCTATTACAGTTATCTAACCATTATTCTTTATTTTTTCTTAATAAAGAACCTTCTCAGTTGCATTTAACTGCAAAGCTGACAGTTCTTGCCAGCTGGAAAAAATCCTTTGCTGGAGAGGAGATCTCCCACCCAGTTTATTGCTGCAGCACAAGGAACCTGTTTCACACTGATGTAGAATTTCAGACAATGTATAATGGCTCTCTTAGAAGCTCATGCATGCACACTACATGCTCCAAAATAGGCTTTTCTTATGCTGGAGAGAAGACAAACACACTGGCATAAATTAACTATAGCATGTTGTGACAATGCATCCCTTTAAAATCTAACAGCTGGAAGCAGAAAGGTTGACTGAAGATGAAAGGGGATCCCTCCAGCACAGGTTCCAGCATCCTTGGGAACCAGATGGACTAAATGGAAAACACAACTAAAATAGGCCACAAAATGCACCGCCAGGAGAGGTTTTCTTTTTATTCATAGCAGTGCCAGGTTTTACTAGAAAGAAACTTTCCATGTCATAGAAACTAAATATAGGAAGCAACTGGAACCACCTATGTCCTCTCCCATCCAGAGCAGCACTTTTCCAGGTACATTTTCTAATCCTGGTGTAGGCTGATTTGGAAAGACTCGTGAAATAAAGTAGTTTGTCTGCCATTTTTAGTTTATTTCACTGCAGCGGTTTTAGGAGAGTTTTTCTTAAGCATTCAGACTACATTTCTTTTCTTTTTCTCATTACTTTTAGTTTTATCAACTTGGACTCCCTGAGGCAGCTTTTCCCTGTGCCTGCTTTTTGTCATTTTGTATTCTTCTGTGTAGCTGCTACGGTTCTCTACAGTTGCCATGATATTTTTTTGTAAGGCCTCTTGTTAAATGTCATTTGCAGATGTCATTACTGTTCTGTTTACTTCTTCCCTCCACTAATGAAGATATGAAACAACACAGAACCCGTCATTGATTTTACTAGGTGGTTTCTGTCAGCCTGCTGTTTATCAGTACTCCTTCTTTGTGGTCCTTCAATCTGCATTCATTCCCCATGACAGCACTCTTATCTGAGCCTTTCCCAATTCATGTTTCAAGCAGATTTTTCTAAGACACTGTAGGAAAGGTTTTGCTGGTGTTTCAATCCAGCTTTATTGTTTCCGCTGTTCTCCCTTCTTGTACACTAGGAATTTTGGCCAGCCAAAAAGCAACTGAGGAATACAATGAATGTTGAGGTACCTTTCTTCCAACTTAAAATTTCCAGTTTGAGGATCCTGTTCTGTGCACACTTGGTGCCTCAATGGCGGGCCCTGTCAAGGTCTAGATTGTAACCAGCATTGGTAATTTGTTCCTCGGAGAAGTTTCAAGGGTTGCAGTCAGGTGTGTCAGATAACTTTATGTTGTGTTTTAGCTGCTGAATCAGCACATGGGCAGGGTGGGCCTTGGCTGGCACGTGACATCATGGGTTCCCTTTATCTCTGCCCCGTGTTTCCCTTCAGGGGTGATCTTGCTGCTCCTCGATAAATTGCGGAAGATGAAGTGGGAGCAGATGTGGAGACTGACGGCGGAGCGGGAGCTGATGAGCATGCTGTCCACTTCATTGGCTGACCAGGTGAGTGGGACACTGCAGGACTGTGGCACAACCACTGAGCCATGGGTTGAGGAAGGAAAGAAAGGGAGAGGGGATGAGATGTGGGAAAAGGCAAGGGAAAGCTATTGTGCCTGTAGTCACCCTCTGTTGAATCATTCTGGGCAAAATGTGGAAGAGAATGGAGATTTAGTCACAAGGTTTGGTTCCTCTTACTACACTGACATTTTTACCTCCTCTGCTCAGATGATTCATAAGAGGGACAAAAGGGGTTTTCAAGCTTTCATTTTCTGTCCTCCCTTCTTTAACAGAGAACCCTCCAGGCACCATAAGTCCAAATAAACTGTGTCTTTTCCCACTGGTTATTGTCTAATCAGATTTTAGTTTTAAGAGTCTCCTGAGATTTCTTTACTGTTTCTGGCAGATGAGTCCCAGATGTCTTTTAATGTACTCCTTGCCACAACAGCCCTGTAAAGACAAAAGTGCTGCTGTCTCCCTGCCACAGATAGGAAGCTGAGGCCTAGAGAAGAAACAGTGTGCCTAAACATAGAAATACAGTTTTTCAATTTGTGCTTCTTGCCAGCTCTCAATTTAGACCCAGAAACAGAATGTAATACTAGACTTGAACCAATAATTCTTGCTCAACAGCTTGAACATGTTAATTCTATACAGCATCATATTTAGATATTTGTTCTCCTTCTGAGCTACCTCTGGCTGCTGACCAGTCACCACAAAGGAAGCACGCTCCTTGCTGTGCTCATGGAGATGTGCACTCTGTACAGCATCTTTGCAGGGTGATCCTGAGGTTCATTTAAAAGATTCTTGCAACTTCACTGTGTTTTCAGTCAGGTCCTGAGTTGCTGTCTAATACCTGCATGGGACAGAATTTTGCAGAACAGAGGAGGGCTGCTTGAGTCTTCCCCTAGTACCCTCAGATTGTCCTTTTAACTTACTTCTCCAACAGAATGACTGCTTATGGTAAAACTTTCTGTCCCTTATGGTGTAGGCTGCTCTGCAACCTGTCCTACATGCCTTCTCCATAAAGTACCTGTGGTACTTGTTGCAGCAATAAAGTTCTACCTAAAGTCATGTCTAGTAATTCACCTTGAAGCAATATAGCTGCCAGATTCACTTTCCTGCCCTTTGTTAAAAAGTGGTGCAGTATTCAGTGCCAGCAGGCACTGTGTGTTTTACTGCCTGTTACTCTCCCTGGTGACTAGAACAGGAACCACACCTCATGCCAGCAGTACAAGGTGAATGTTAGAAAACTTTGCTAGAGTGCCTTAACTCTGTGTGTCAGGAGAGCTTTTTGCTCTTGTGTGGATCTATATATCACCCCTTAGATTAACAGCACCCTCCAAGGCAACAGAATTATGGAGAAAGGTTTACAGACTTCACCTTTCATCACCATTGGAATTTCTGCCTGTGAGGGGGAGAAGGAGAGTCAGCTGGGGGAGGAGTTGAGATCACCTCATGCAGTAGAAACAACATGCCCAAATGTTTCTCTGTTTGTTTTTTTTTTTCTGCTAGGATATCTTCAATGCGGTCATCAAACAAAATCCCTTCCTTGTCTACCAGCTCCCATGTTTCTGGAATGTGCAGCTTTCTGATCACACCCGTTCTGAGCAGTGCTACAGAGATGTGTCTGACCTGAAGGTATGTTGCAGAGGAGGTGTCCTTTGGGACAGAGAATGAAGGACTGCTGCCAGAGAAAGATAAACTGCCTTAAGTAGGGGGGAAACTAACACATACTGTTCATATAGACACCCAAACGGGGAAAGGAAATGTGACTTTGGTTTTGTGCATTCTGACTACTATTAGAAAATTCAAATATAGATGCTGCTTTGGGGTTTGGCGAGGTGTTAAAGAAGTGCTTTGCCTTCTTACATTTTGCACCTGCCACCTGTGCCAGTGCAGCTTACTACTAAATTCTTACTGCTTTCCCAGGTCTTAGGTCTTCCTAGACAAAGAATACAAAACCTTTCATTTTTGTACTGGACAAGCTTGAAACTCTTTGCTGAACACCATTTAACAGAGTGAAATTCAGAGAGGATTGGGCAGACCCTAGCTAGAAATGGATTAGGAGAAATGTAAAGACCTTGCTCACTTCATATTTAGCCTTTGCACACACTTTACCCAGTCATGTTGCCACTCATTTTCCCATGTTTTGTCCTGAAAAAAGGAAGACTGATTAAAAACCTATTAATTTAATTAAATGAAACTATAGTGTGAGTTTATTAGCACGTTTTTCACTATTAACAAGTAGAGTATTAAAGCAGGATGAATTTTAATAGATATGGGTAAGTGAACATCAATTGTGCCCTGGCCATTTTGAAAGACTGAACTCAGAGATTCAAATGTAGCATGCAGAGAGTTCAGAATTGAAGCTTGGTTGAGCTTTGTCCAGGTGTAGAGTAAGATTGTGCATCAGTAGATTCCATCAGAGCAGCCTAGTGGCATCAGAACATAGTAAATATTAGGTAGTTTTCAGTGACTGATTTTAGAATTCAGTTAAGGTTTGTATATTTGGACTTAAGTTTTGAGAATGCAAATGAGGTTTAAAAAAAAATCAAAGGCACAAAACTATGGAAGAGGTTGCAAGGGCTCTCTGGATACTATCCAAACCCCACTTAATGCAGGACCAACATAGATAGACCCAGCTGCTCAGCATCTTGTACAGATGAGTGTTGAGTCTCCAAGCACTGAGGTTTCACATTGCTCCCTGGGCCCCGGTTCCAGATTTTGGCCACCCTCTTTGTACATCATATATCCTAAATCTAACAAAGTTTTCCCTTGTAGCAATTTGTAGAGTAACAGCAGGAGTGTTCAATATGAACACCAGATGCAGGATGAATATAGAAAATCAATCACTCTCAACACACTTGCAAAAGATATGCTTCCAAGAGACAAAAGTTCTACATGGGTTAAATGACCTGTCAAAACTGGCCATCATTGATTGAATTTCATATATAAATTATTCACAACTGTCTATTCAGGTGTGATCCATAGAGGACAGCTTTTAAAGTTAAATCACTGTACTGTCAGTACACTAGTCACTAAATGGTTTATAATACCTGTTTGTAGGGCAGGATCAACACAGGCACTTTAAAAGCATGATGGTTTTATGCCTTGAAACAAAGTACTGATAGAGATTTTTGTACTGCATTCATGTTGAGAATCATGTTTGACAGTGATTGCAGGGCCTGAAACAAAAAGAAAGATGTGTAACAGGGAAAATGTTTCCTAAAATATGTACTTCAGAAAAATACACATCCCACCTGTGACATATCACAGTATTTTGCTGTGAATTAGATACTGAGATTAATTTATGTTATTGAGACACTGAGACTGGACTCAGCACAAGGTAAAGACACAACCATTTACATGAGGAAAAGATACTGAATACAAGGATCAAGGGTTTGGTTCCATTGCCTAAACATGGTTTGAGTCACCATAGGGACTCTGCAGTATCCATATAGGAGTGGCAGATAAAACACAGACCTACAGGAGATGTCCTCTTGGCAAGGCAGCTGATGGGCCGGCAGGATAACTGTAAGGTGCTTGCAGGGATTGAGATGTACACCTTGCTGTACATCTGGATTTAGACAGCCAAAGTGTCATCTTTATGAGTGGATTTGGAGGCTGGAGCTCACCTCAGAGCAGATGTCTGATCTTCTGAGTCCAGTGACTGTGTTAACTCATCTGCTTCAGGTGTGGGTCATCTAACTCATATGTAACACCTACAAGTAAGCATTTGACAGTATTTTTAAAACAAATCCTTTCTTTCTTGTCAATTAACAAATTTATCTTTACAGCTGTAATTCAGGCTTGGTCATTGTTGCTGTATATTGTGTCACACTGTCAGTTCCATTACAGCATAGGCAGTGAAGTCTAAGATGTGCAATACTCTCCACTGATTTTCTGGCCTGAAGTATTTTAACTCAACAAGGGGTGAAGACACATAAGCAATTTCTTCAGCTAAACTGGACTTATTCACTCTACTAAAATTATCCCCTACATACTAAATTTGGGCTGAAATTCTTTGCCTTGAAAGAGAGGTCAGAGCCTTATCTGGTGCACATAAAACCCCATGGTTTCAATAAAGCTTTTCCCATATTGAGCAGTTAAAGAACTGACCCTCAGGCAGCACTGTTTAAAATTCTTCATACAATTAAAAAAAAAAGGCATGGACCAATTAAAGTTGTGAATTTGCATTATGAAAATAATCAAAATTCTAGTTCTGTAAAGAAACCAGCTGGTTAGGTATCTCACAAAAACTTAACAAATGTCATTACTCCAAGTTAAAAATTTCACTCTTAAAATCACCCGAGTTAATCAGTTCCATGGCATTTAATATAAATGGTACAACACAACAGATTTGGCACATTCTTTATTGCATGGTAAGACTGGAATGAGAAACAAGGTAGAACAAACCTTGAGGGTAAGAGGGAAAGAAAGACAGATTTTGAAGTCTGCACTGGAGGATAAAGAAGAATAGCATAAGAAAGAAGGAAGTGAATGGAGAGATTTAAATTCAAAAGGTAAAGCTGACCCAGTCAAGGATTCTTCAGCCAAAACAGAGTGCATTCCTCCTGTCAGACTGAAAAGGTGCTGATTTGATTCCATCTGGCCTCAAAGTCCAAGGGAGTTGAGGATTTGTCATCTCTTATACACAGAATTGTGTCAAGTAAGCTTGGACCCCCAGGGCTGTTCAGGGACCTCTGTGTGCATATGCATTCAGACACTTTGCTGCTTTCTTCACATTTATGCAAGGCTTAGGGAGAAGTTGAATATTTCATATTGCCTGAAGAGGATTCTGATCACCTTTTTCTCTTTTTAGACCACGTTAAATTGCATCTCTATCCATTTTACTGATTTTTTTTCCTTTTCCTGGGGGATTGGTCTGAATCTGAGGTTCATTTATGTATTGCTTTTGCTGGATTAGTCCCTGCTTTTGCTTGCTTCTTGGTCAGTACTTTGTTCCTGTCTGTAAGGAAATCTCAGTTACTATGATTTGGCACAAACCTAATGGCAGGAAAGTACTGTGAAAGAAGGTACTGAATTTTGATACCTCTGACAATGAATCATGACCTCACTGTATGAGTCAGTCATAAAGTCTGGTTGTCAAGGATACAGATGCTATTTACATGCAGACAATCTGGTAATTCACAATCACAGAAATCAGATGCTTGACTCTTCAATGGGAATGTATCAAATTATTAGAATTTACACACACTCTTAACATGGAAAAATGCTTTACAACCTATTGATGGCTTTTCAAACTGGTTTTGAATACAGCTGATACTAAATCAGCAGATAGATAAATCATGAATCTCATAAATTCCTCATTGGGAACTTGTGTTCTGTGATTCACTGTGTCCTCCCTGGGAGTGTCCTCCACACTGGAATGACTTTGTGATATTGCTTACAGAAGTTTTAACAGCTTCTTTTCCATAACTGTAATACATCATTTCAGCTCTGCCTCAGACATGACCCATTTCACCTCTTTGTGTTCCAGTCCCTGAGCTGCCCCATGCTGTCCAAGCACTTCTGCTCTAATCTGCAGCGCTTCTGGCATTCTGCAGCCTTGCACCCTTTAATGCCAACGAAGGAAGAGCTGCAGTGAGAGGAGTGAGGGCTCAAGAGGGTTAAAAAACACCCCTCCTTTGAGTGAACATTGGAGCCAGTCAGATGTTTCTGTCCTGCCACAAAGGAAGCACCATGGGTTTTTATAGGGGTGTTCTCGCAGGCAGGAGGCCTCTCATTAAACGCTGGCACAGGAGCTGAAGGAAAAGAAGTTGAAAAATCCTTCAGAGGACAAATAATGACCTTTGAAAAGCACAAGGCAGGGGCAGTCTGTCAGCTTAGTGCCATACAGCAGTGGCAGTAAGCAGGGGAGTAAAGTAATCCCTGGGACCATGGGCACCAAACTAGGCAGGTCAGGGATTTGAGTCCCACATCCAAATTAGGGTTGCTGGCTACTCCAACTCGAGTCTCTTCCACTTAGGTGTTTTAGAATATTACATTAAAATCTCTGTGATGGCATTCTTATGAAGTATATGAACCTTTCTGAGGAAATTGGTTCTTTTATTAAACCATTCATTTCTGATAAAACACACTTTAAAAAATAAAGTTTCCAGACATTTCTAATCATGGCATAAGTTACACATGTGGTGCATATTTGCAGTGTGGTTTGGGGCATATTTAAGCTTCTAAAAAAGCCTATTGAGATGGCATTAAAGTGACATATATAGGTGGCTTTACTGTGCAGATTTGCCAAATGTTTAACTCGTATTGATTCAATGAGAAGGGTCTGGTTGCCTGAGTCCAGTTTTTTAGCAGAAAAGCTTCCTGTTTACAAAATACCACTTGTTTACCTAAACTGTGAAGTGCTCATGGGCTTAATTAAGGATATCTGTTCAGTGCCTTGCAAAATTAAACTTCTTTAAGCTTAAATTTAAGCTTAATTTATTCTTATTTCTTGCCCTTCCCTTGCCTGGAAAGCAGGTATATAATTATACAGGATATCCTTTGCTCTCTGATTCTGGAAGGGCTGAAGCAGAGCAAGAAATTATCAAGATGTCTCTTTGGGTGAAAAAATGGAAGAGATTGTGGTTAAGGAAACATTTGGCTAAATACATCTTTTTGAGAGAGAA